GTACGTTGCTTCCAATTCAGGAAAAAGGTAGTGGGATTATAAGCTACCTTATATCGAAGCTCAGATAGAACTGTCCAGCACTTTGAACAGTAAGGTTCTTTTAAGCGCTAATTTCTCAAGAAATATTTATTTCCTAATGACTTCTGTTGTTCTTTGCAAAGTTTCGCAGCCATCAAGTTAAAAACGAAAAAGTTATGACGGAAAATTTTTCACAGCTAAATGCTCCAGTATTAATAACGCAGCAACCTTAAGTCTTGAAGGTTAGATTACGCGGGCTTTGCGTGTTTGAGAACTTTTTTTTTGTCTGCGATTATTTCCTTTTTAAGTGTTTTGACCCTCTACTCTTTCAACGCGATTCTTAACCTTTATCAAAACAAACAAAACAAACGTACGTACGTTATTAAAATTAAAAATTCAACAGAACTGAAACGTATTTATGGTGAGAAGAGTCGACTGGGACAAAAGTTCTGTTTTCTGCTGCCAAGAGTTATCCCTGGTTATTTTTGTATTCATTCATTTCTTTAGTCAATTAATTCTATTCACTGGCAAATTGGTTGGCCTAAACTAAACTTAAACCTTTGCTTTTACGAATAACATATCTTTGTTTTGACAAAAGGAGCAACTTTTATCTCTTTGCTCCAGATTTCTTACGCACTGAAATTTAACACACATCATAGTTAACATAACGTTCCCACCACACTTACAAGCAAAACATTTCCGTAACATTGACACTTCAGCTCTAGATCCTAAGAGAGTAAATTCTAAGAGCTGGACAATTCTTGCCTTTGTAACTTATTCCCCTCCCTGGTGGAGATAGACTCTGGTCTTTGATCTTGTAGCATCCTTTCAATACTCCGAGGATCGTTTTGTTCCAGCTGCAAGTCATATTTGCCAGAAAGAAACAACAGTATTGCATCTATAATCCAAATTCTAGCTTTTATCTCGGTTACCGTGTTCTCAGTGACAACAAGATCGTATTCCTTGAAGAAGAAGGAATTCACACATCCAGATTTGATGTTCTTCTTAAGACTTCAAATATCTGCAACAACCTGGTGACGGCGTTACCTCTCTCCCATTCTTCGTCCACTGGAACTCTTGCCAGTTCATAGAGAAATGCAGTTTTCAAAAGATAGGTGTGTACATAATATGCACAAGATCCAAGTCCATCTGTATCAGGCACTTGTCCACTGCGCTGTAGAAGAACCTTTCCAAGAATGTATGTGTTCCTCTTACACTCAGCTACTCCTCGAAGGATCTTCGTTTCCAGTTTGGAAGTAGAGATGCGTCAAAATACGTTTTCAAAGGAATGTCTAGCATGCCTTGAGAGGCGGTTGGGATTACATACAGTGTAGATAAACTAGTTTCCAAAGCAGCGCCCGAGTCTTCCATTCCTGACCAGGCGTCTCGCGATTGGGTGGTGTAATTTAGTGAAACCTCGTTATGATAGGCAAAGGGCAGGGTAGGAATCACGTCAGCTGTTATCTGCATACCTGTGAACAATCCCCGTCTCCACTCGAAGTGCAAAATAAAACCCGCTTTGATTTCACTGACTATTCTACGTTTACTACTGTCTGGAAAAATTCCTGGAGATAAAAGCGAATTTATTGTGAAACCTTGACCCTCTTAGATAAGAATACATCTTCAATCAAGCTGAAGAGACAGGCTTTGATTCTCTGCGGGAAGAGATATTTGCCATCCTTTAACAAGTTTCTGACGAGTTCACTGTCGTTGCCTTTTTTAAATGCAACTTTGCAGTAGCCTGGCTTGTCTTCAGGGGTATAGGATGGTGCAAAGTTTTCAGTTAAGGATGGCAAATAGAACATAAAGTCGAACTCACTGGGCTCCCTAACTTTGCAGGATTCAGCATTACTCCCTGATAAGGTGACTTCACAAGCAAAACGTGGGTCAGCTTCTCCAACAGCTTTCATCAAGTCTTTTATGAAAACAGTTACAATGCGGATAATATGGCTTGCCTGATTTGATTGTGGAGTCCTTCCGATGCCATCTGTATCCAAGACTGTCGTTAAATACCTTGGCAGAGTCACGCAATTAGTTTGTTCACTTTTTTTGACAGGTTGTATAGTTGCCTGAAATCCTGATAAAAGTTGTGACACATCAGCAGAACCTCTCCGACAGCAGATGTTGCCAATTGATTCCCCATTGCACGTCACGTTATGATCTGCGCCTGCACCGAGAAGGATCTGGACAACTGTTTTATGACCATTGAAAGCAGCCAAGTGCAAGGGTGTTATGCCATCACAATCCACAAAATCAATTTTGACCTCTTCTTGTTTGCACAAAATCTTAACCAAGGCATCGTATCCTCTTCCTGATGCAAGATGTAGGGGAGTAGTTCCATTGCAATCACTTGAGTTCACATCTGCACCACTTTGTAACAAGGTCTCAGCTTTCTGGACACAGTTTAATTCTGCAGCAATATGTAAAGGAGTTTCTTCATGTGTAGATGACTCGTTTACAGATGTACCCAAATCAATCAACAACATAACAGAGTCATCTGTCCCATCTATTGTGGCAATATGCAAAGGGGTCAAGTCATCGCAGAGAGTCTTGGCCTCTAGAAATGCACCATTTTGAATTAGCATTGTTACAATTTCATTATTTTGACCAAATATGGCATGATGAAGTGGTGTTGCACGAGATGCATCTTTAAAATTGATGTCTGCACCAAGACTAATCAACTGATCTACCATTCCAATCTTCCGGTTTAATACAGCATAATATATAGGTGTCTGTTTTCCAGGCTGGGCTTGAGAGTTAACACGAACACCTGCCTTGACAAGAAGCCGCTCGACATCCGGGTTGTCACCATAGATAGCGCAGTGAAGGGCTGTCTCACACTGACCAATGTCGTCAGGACACTCAGACAACTGGTTTTGATTGTGACCACGTTGCAGGAAAAAGTCCACTATTTCGTACTGTCCATAGTATGCTGCACAGTGGAGAGGAAAATAGCCTATTTCATCAGGAACATGTTCATTGGCACTAAATGAAACCAGAAGCTCAATAATGAGAAGATTGGTGGGCTCGAGACGTATGGCCTGATGCAATGGTGCACCATTATTCAGCACACCATCCACTTTCGGACCCGCTTCAAGGAGAGTTTTGAGAGAACTATATTGACCAGATATGATTGAAGTGACAAGGGGTGTATGTATTGGGTCAACACAACAGAGGTCAGCCGTCATGCCTGCCTTTAAGAACAAATCCATTACATCTGTATAACCATGTTTTGCAGCAATTTGTAATGGACTAAAACCACTGATATCAAAAATGTCCAGTTTCACTCCAGACTCGTGCAATGCAGAAACACCTCTTGGGTCTTCTGTTCTGGCATCAATGTTTGCTCCATGTTGAACAAGGACCTTAATAATTTCAAGATGTCCTTATAAAGTGGACTGCACCAGGAAGCACATCTACTCAGAGTAGTAGGCCTTGAAACATCAGTCATTGCCCCACCTAGGAGTAAACTTTTGACAACATCTAGGTGGCCTTCACTGACTGCTACATGCAAGGGTGTTTTCAAGTGGTTTGATGCAATACTATTTGGATCAGCACCTTTTATAAGAAGTCCCTTAACAATCACACCACTGTAGCCATTTCCAGCTGCAATATGTGTTGGTGTTTCCATTGCAATAGTCTTTTTGACTCGCAAATTTACATCTGCTCCATACTCAAGAAGAGTATTGACTACTTCCTGGTGTCCAAATAGGCAAGCCAGGTGTAAAGGTGCCATACCATAAAGCTTCGGCTCACCACAGTTTATTTCTTGTGCTGTAGGTTTAAGCTCAAAAATGGTCTCTTCCTTGCCTAGTACACAAGCAACTACCGGATGATTGCTTGAGTTACTCTTAAGGGTACTGAATGATTAGGTCTTCAAGTTTTATGCCGGTGTATTGAAATGATACAGCTGGGGTACTTTTTGATTGCCTTTGCATGTTATTGAGTAGGTGAGTAGTAGTATTGATAGAAAGCAACTTGATATTCTTCTCTGTGAAAAGGAAGTTAAATACTTTCAGACTAAATCACAAAAGCTTGCCCAGTAAATATTCATTAGTACCTAAGGTGGAGCAGTAAATATTCCTATAAGATAAGAACAAAAACGAATTACCTACTGACTTTACTTACACTGTAGGATGTTTTGTGCAACTTATTTTGCAATGCAATCGAAGGACAAACTGTACAACAAACAATTAATTTTTTGCTGGGCGCAAACAACATACATCAATTGAAATAGGCTTGCTTCGAGTAGTCTCAATTTTTCCTCACGGATAGTAGAGCGAGGGAAACGCGAGCGCGCGTGAAAGTCACCCAGCGCGAGAAAGGCAAGATGCGGTGGTGAGGGAGAAAAATGAGGGACTACAAACAAAGCCTAATCATTTGACCTTATGCGTTGCTCTCACAATGCAAAACTGATTGGCTCTTCCATGAAAATCTGTCAACACCTGTCGAAAACGCCCCACCCACTATCAACACTCGACATAATTACAATTTACAGAACAAAAAAACTAGAGCAGAACAAATAACTAGAATTGCTCTCGTAGAAGCAACTAAGCAGAAAGCCAACCCGTCAACTGATGAGGTTCGCGTTTAGAACCGTAACCATGGTCTTGCGTGATCACAAAGTGGCAGTAACAGAACGGTCGCAAGGCTGTTAAGCTTATTCAAAAGTTATCACCAAGGGAGGAACTACGCGCTCCAGTCCAAAGACTCACATTATCCTTAGAAAAACAAGCAGGAGTTAAAATTCATTGCTTTAAGAACAATGATGACCGAGTCACATCAAAATTCTCCATAGTTAAAGTAACTTTGAGGTTTGGACCTGTAAATCACTATCCATGAGAATTTAAGACGGAATCCACCAGGAAATTGAGTAATTTTAATTTCCAGTGGACAAAAATCTTGTACCATAATTTAAACAATATTGCATTCTTTTTTACATTTTTCAAGGGCTTTAGATATAACTAGTTATCTGTATTTAACACTTAAGACTATTTCTCATTTGAACCCAAGAAAATGAATGTCAAATTTCACAAGAATTGTGAAAATACAGGTAAAATTCTAAAAATTTCATGCGTACTGATGTCATTTTGTGAAATTTGACATTTTATTTTCTTGGGCTCCCATTTGAAATTGTCTTTAATGTTATTTCAGGTAACTGGTAATAATATTACATCTGCAGCCCTTGAAAAATGTTAAAAAGAATAATATGCTTTAAATTATTCTGGTACAAGGTTTTTGTCCACTGAAAATTTAAATAACTCAATTTCCTGATGGATTCTGTCTTAACATCCTGCTAAAAACGCTAACGAGCTGGGCCCAGCGTGACAAACCATTGCAGGAAACCGTCACATTTATGGACAAAAAGAAAATCGCTTATAATTATTCAGATCCAGGAGGCACTTTGCCGGAGAAATTAAGGTGGCTGGATACAGTTGTTCAGGGTCAACACCTCCTCCTTTAAAAAATCAGGGTCAGGGTTTCAAACCCTCAGCGGCTCACCCATACCCAAATATGGGCCGAGTACCCCGCCCGCGCGCGCCCCGGGATCTAGATAATGCTCTTGCAAGATTTCGCTTAGACTTCACGAAAATCGAGGTGGCAATTGGAGGAAAAAGCTCCCGTAAACGATTTTGGAAGAACAGTTCACAGTGCCGAGAAATACTGCTGCAAGTAAAATAGGTAATGGCGTCATTCCGTTGCTATGACAACTCTGATGTCATTGTAACTCTGATCATAACAAATTTTCCTCTTTATACAATGTAGCTCACTTCGGAAAAGAGTGATAGCCTGGGATCCGAACTAGGCGCACACGCATTTATGGGATTATTTTGGGGGATGTGAATGTGTACACAAAAATTGGTGGAAAGCGGAGTGGAATATTTAAGCGGAGTTAAAACAGCTCAAAATAGCAAAAGGGATGGTGGAATTGAAAGAAAAAAAACATAACAATATGAGGCTGAAGGTAGATGTGCCTGGGAGATTTTACTTCCAGAAAAACTAGAAGAATCCAAATCCCAGTTCTATCAGAGTTCAACTTCAAGTTAGCGTTCCAAAACGAACGTACATATTCTCGCTGGATGCGTCTTGTCTTTGGTATTCTATAAAATGCCAGACCAGAGGAGTTCCTGAAGTTATCTGTTAAAGGCACACAACAAATTGCATGTCTCATCATAATTCAAGGTGGCTGCTCACTTTGTCCCCCCAAACAATTCCATAAATCTGCACGTGCTTAGTTTGGGTCTAGGCTATCACTCTTTTCCTAAGTGGGCTATACAACCGGTGGCAATTTTTCTAAATCTTTGTTTATAGAGGCGTAGTTTATGCTCAAACGTGGAAGGTATTGACCGTAAAAAACTGTATCGAGCCACCCAAAAAACAATCTAAAACCCTTATTTAACCATTGAAAAGCTTTACTTTTCAAAAGACGTCAAATAAAATGCCCTTGCACCAAAGGGCAATTCATGCCAAAAATAAACAATAACCACAGAAAATTAGTATGCGTGTGATGACCTATCAGTATGAAATGCACAGCAAAAATCACATTTGCTCGGCCAAAACGTTTTCCTTCAGAGCATAATGTACCCGTCAGAGAAAAAAAAAATTCATCGGAACAAGCAGCATTTTGGCTTCTTACACTATCACGTTCTTCACATAAGGTGACATAAAACAGGCGCGAAGAAAATTAGTATCTGGGTTTTCTTTTGCTTCCAATAAATATCCCCCGCACTTTACTGATGACAAGAGCAATGACAGCTCAATCTTTAATCTTTAATCTTTAATCACAGTTCGTAACCATACATAACTGATACAAATGAACTAATACTAACATATACAATCGAACAAAAATACAAAAATGGTTAACAGCATGGTAGTAGGGGGAACAGTGAGAGAAGGAATCCCATTGGATGCGCTTAATTGATTTGGAAGGGGATACGAACTTCACACTCTATAATCAGTCAGCCGTGAAGGGTAAAATGCTCGGGCTTTGTCTGTAGTCCCTCATTTTTCTCTCTTTCCACCACATCACGCCTTTTTCGCGAGGGGTGATTTTCACGCGTGCTTGTGTTTCGCTCGCTCTACTATAACCCCCTGCTGTATCCCTGAGGAAAAATGGGGAGTGCTCATGTAGTCTAGCAATAGGCAGACTTGTTGCATCATACAAGTTGCAGAAAACAACTAAACCCACATGCAAACCAGTGCAGAATAGACCTTGTCTCGGTTTTCGACGCCATCTTGACGAGTAGGCAAACACGTGAGAAATTACAGTGTTTGTATGAGAATCTAATGTCGAATAATTTCTGTAGAACGGCTGTTCTGAAAAAAATATGATTTGTAAACTATAGCTTCACTCCTCAGGATTCTCAGGGCATTACATGCACTAGAAGACCTAGAACCACTTTTTAAAATTTTCTTTACATTTGTTCTGTAAGAAAGTCCCGGGAAAAATTACAGACAAATATATGGAAAATCTAAAGCAAGCCTTTGGAGAAATTTAAGCACAGGTACTCCCATAAAATTTTTTAGGACAGTCCTTTGCTTTGTAGCTTTAGTTTACAATTGCTATTTTTTTTTTCAGAACAGCCGTTTTACGGAAATTATTCGACATTAGATTCTCATACAAACACTGTAATTTCTCTAGCCTGTTCCAAGCGTTCAGATAGTGGAGAGCGGTGCGAAGTAAAGAAAGCGATAAAAAGTAGAGGGGGACTGGGGAGAGCACTTCGCACCGCTCCCCACTATCTGAACTTATATCTGAACGCCTGGAACAGGCTATAGCTCGCCACGCCAAAGATTTTACATGAAATTGAGGGTGCAGTTCAAATCCCCCACCCCTAGAGCATGGGGATCAAATTCCCCACCCCCTGGAAGACTCTGATAATCAAATTCCCTCCTCTCCGGGACGGCAAAGGTGTCAAATGCCCGGGGTATGCCCGGGGGGGCATGTTGAAGCTTCGATTTGACCGATACATTAGAAACACATTGCAGGGGCGGATCTAGGGGGAGGGTGCAGGGGGTGTGCACCCCCTCCCCCTGAGATGACCTACGGTTTTCTAATACAACTGGTATTCTGCAAAAAAAAATGTGGTTTATTGGTGTTGAAGTAGAGCAAGAGACGAGTGCACCCCCTCCTAAAAACAATCCTGGATCCGCCCCTGCATTGTTTCACAGCTCTTTCTGCAACTTCTCTTGCAGCATTTTTAACAAAGAAACGGCCACCTACTGCACAAGTACTCATTTCCAATTTCCAATTTTATGCAACTATAGAAAACCAGATTTACGATTCATCCACTGTGAAATACTTTGCTAGAGTTTGGTAGCAATTTAATAATGTTATCATTCACTATTAATGACATCCGACGTGTATAACCAATTGTGGAATTGCACGCATTTTAGGCATCCTACTGATGAACAGTTGGGACACGTAGATACATCTGTATATTTTTTAGCAACTACTACAATTTGCAGTCCGTCTACTGTCAATATTATAGTGTACTGTTGAGCCTTTTATATTTTGAAAACTCACGAAAAGTTAAGATCAACCTGAGAAAAAGTTAATCAACCATTACCTCATCATGAATCAGGGCCATCTGAGTTGAAAAAGACCAAAACCCTTGGACGTTTCGTCCATAAAATAACCTTCCATTTCTTCATTGTTAGCAAACAACCCATTGTACACAGCCGCCATCTTGAATGAAGAATGTAACCGGAACTTAGATAGCCGAAATGTAATTTCCCAGAAAGCGACCGGAAGAGAGAATATCCCGGGGGGGGGTACTCCCATACATTACCTATACTGGTATGTGCCGCCCAAAGGGGTCGTGATTTTGAAGCTCCTGACTTAGAAAGGGGTATCCATTTCAGAGGCGTTTTCGAGAACGGGGTATAATATTTCGAACCCACGAAAGCTCTCCACTTTTGTTAGCAGCCATTTGAAAGTATTCAAGGAAAAAAATACGGTCAATGCGTTAACAAGCAAACCGTTGTACTCTTGTTGCACCCTAGAACGGAGTATAAAAAAATGGCCCATTTCTAGAACGGGGTATTAGTTTTAGGGCGAATTCTAGAACGGGGTATAAAAAATCGGCCTATTTCTAGAACGGGGTATCAATTTTAGGGGAAATTTTTTCTAGAACGGGGTGCCAATTTGGAGTCCCGGGCGGCACATACCCACCCAAAAAATACCCAAGTGCCCCCCCCGGGGAGAATATATGCTTCTCTAAGCAATTTTACATTTACAGGAAAGAGCGAGCAAAATACTTTCTTACGGCTCAACAATGAATGGACAAGACTTAAACACTACTCTGAATCGTTTTACTGACCAAATTGTGAAGCTCAGGCAAACGGAAAAATCCGACGCTTTAAGTTCGTGGCAGCCCATTGTAGATAAGATTGTTGATTTCGTGAGGCAAGAAGACGTTCATGGTCGGTTCGTCAAACTAAAAATTGTTCCCACTGGAAGTTATTATGAAAGGGCCAAAGTTGGCGCGCCAGACGAGTTCGATTTAATGTTGGAAATAGAGAAATTGGAATTGGACGCTGCACCTTATGAAGAGTACGAAAACGACGGTATGAACGAACCGCCAACAGGTAATAAGGTTCTCAATACAATAAAAACCCTCATTTTTCCAACTTAGCCTAAATAGGTTCTTATACAAATGTTGTTTAGTTGGATTTTAGGCTACTTAGGTTCTTTAATAGGTTCTTAATTTGATAGAGGCACTAGCGATCTGCACAGATAATTAGTACACGGGATATGTGATTATAATGCTGTAATAAATATAATAATTATCTAGAGTACAGTTTAGTGAACCATACAGTAAATTTTTCTTTCCGAAGTACTAGCATGCATGTCCATAAAATGCTGTGTTACATTTTTGATTCTTTGAATCTTACTGACTGAAACCTAGGCTAAAGTTTTTTTTCCGTATTTTCGTCTGTGCCTTCATTTTTGTAAAATAAGGACCTATTGGAAATTTTAGGCTAAATAGGTTCTTATGAAAAGGGGGTTTAAAATGGAAATTTTAGCCTAACAGGTTCTTGAATTTTAGGTTCTTATACGCGGGTTTTTACTGTACGTTCAAAGTGATCACATAATTATTACTAGAGTACTCTGGGATGGTTTTTGATTGCTTCATTTTATTGTTAAATACAGCCAACGACGACATCAAAGTTCTTGTTAGAAAAAACTGTTACATTAATATTAATTCTCGTATTTAAGCTAAATGATCTGAAAATAGAAGGGGCGCAGCAACATGCACGTATGGTACGCACGTGCGTATAGTCGTGGGTAAGAAAATAATAAAATATGATATCAAATAATATACATAATGTGAGAGCGTCTCCTGGTTTAAAATTATTACCCGTTTTGTGTACCTCACATTAAAAAATGTACCCCTTTCACATATCTGCTTAAGACTCTGCATTTTTTTTGTACATCCTTGTATTGAAATTAATCCATATTATCAACGAACAAACACGTTAAAAGGCGCATCTGTTCAAATTTATCATCTTAATAATAGGTCCTTTTAAAGACCAAAGTGACAGATTTCCATACCCTTTCAAATACTTCAACCCACGAAACCCTTTCATATACCTGAAGTGTGAAATTTTGTCCCTTTTGGAAATGCCTGCTGATATAGGCCATTACAGAGGGTATAACCCCCAAGGGACTGATGATACACCACTGTTGTATTTGGAAACCCTTTTACTTCCAAATAGCACGTGAACAGTATGTGCACCCTTAGATTTGAACTTGTTTAAAGCGTTAGCCTGCATTTGCATTATGCAATGCCAGAATTCACTTTCACCTTCCCTTTCAAACATCTGCCATGCATAATTAGTGACGTAATTGTTGAGACGTTATCCTCAGCTGGCTGCTTTGGAGAACTAAACAATCTGCACCCTTCCCCTCTCCCCTCAGTTCCAAGTTGGAGTGTTTGATGATTTTTAAAGTTACCGTTGTACCGAGTAGTGCAACATTACTTGGAGAGAGTGGGGAAGGAAAGCTTTTCTTTCCCCTTTGAAGTCGGCAAAATGTAATAATGCTCAAAGGCAAAGTGTCTTAACTAATTTTATTGTGTTCCCAACTGCAAGATAAGAAACTGTCAGTGACAATGTCACCTAATTTCAGTGCCTTTTTTTGTCCGCAGGATTTACTCGAGTAATGATCGATAGGGGCGAGGAAGTGTTGTGGCAACGGGAAGGGTGTGCCAACTCCCGAGGAATGTTAAAAGCAACCCAGATTAAAGCAGTGTTTGCAAGAATTGTTAGAGAAGCTGTTTCCTACCTGGGATATCAAAGGTACCACTCCATAAGCAAAGATTTTGTATTATCTGGGAAAATGCATGTATTGATAAGCTGTAAACATCATTCACCTCTAAATTAGAGGGCTTGAGTTAACAAACATTATTACCAGTGTCATTTCACAGGGAAGGGTTGATTCACATTCACCAGCCCAGACAAGTAGAAACTGACGTGTACAGGTAAGTAAGGGAGGAAATCACTGCCGTTAAACGCTAGCTTCAACAGCATGCAAAAGTTGTCACTTTAACTGAGTGCACAATTTAGGGCCTTTCTACCAAAGACGTAATGGATTTCGATTAATTCTGGGTCCCTTTTTTAATTCCCTTCCTTCCCACCCAATGCACAAAACACTCACAGGAGTTAACAAATGTATTGAATCATTTGATAGGAGGACTAAGAACTGAGGACTTAGCCTTCAAATTCCAGTTTAAGATTACACACTCGCGGAGCAATAGTAGACACAGTTGAGACCTACATTGTACCAACAAGGACGTTATTAATATTGAAAATGAAGCAAAAATAGATTTTAAATCATTGAGTAGCCAGAATGGAAGAAGCACTACTGATCATAAAGGTGGCATTCCCAGGAAAAAAATTTTTCCTCAAATTTAATAGGCACAGTTTTCAAGATTAGTGTCATGGCAATGTCATGATGGTGCACATAATTATGTTGGGGTAAAAAAGGGGTCAAGGGGAACAAGTTATTTTCATAATGTGACTAGCCTGTGTTTGTTCAACCTTTTGAATGTAACTTGGCCCCTGTCTAAAATCTTTTGGCCAATAATGTTAAAGAGCTTACATCACCATTATTTTTAATTATTTATACATTGTACTCACTATCTGTCTTATCACTGGCTAAGAGCCTACAGCTAATTCTGGAAATCAGCGCAACCTACAGATTAGTTAGTTATCTGCTAGTAGATAACTGACTAATCTGTAGGTTGCGCACACAATGCATGATTTCCTATAACAGTATCAATTCAGGTTCCTTGGGACGGTGTATTTTTCATCATTTCTTCACCACAGTATATAAGAAAACAATTATTAGATTCGGTTTTTATGAAATCCTAAATAATCAAAGACTCGGTAAGTGTTATCAGCCTCGACCTTCGGCTTGGCTGACAAAACTTACCTCGACCTTGATTATTCCAAATATCACAAAAACCTCATCCAATAATAATTATTATTGTTTATAATAATTGTTAATAATTATGTAATTCTGTTTAATGAAGGGCTCCAAAATTTTATATGTACATGTAAATAAAAAAAATTAAACCTAACATGTAGATGCAACATAATGGTAATAATTTATTACATTAAGCTCTTCTCTTTCCGATCTTTAGCTTTGTTGATGTTAAGTCAGAAGGTCCTGCAGTGACCTTGAAAATTACCAGGAATAGGAAAGAATACTCCATTGACCTGACCCTTGCCATAAAAGATAATTCTTGGCCAGAAGATGCGGAGGAATGGAGAACAAGACGTCGAAATGGTATTGTTTTTACTGCACTCTTGTTCCCTAAACAGAAACTTCCAACCGAACCTAGTACATTTATACACAGGTATCTTGTAATGCTGACATTGTTCAGATGTTGTTTTATGTACAGTGTATGACTTGCTACATTATTGTTAGTGCATCTGAACTATTATGTCCAATGTGATCTTCCTACACACATTTATCATTTTGTGTTTTCATTGCATTTATTTAGTTTGGCCCAGTCATGACCTTGTGCGTGAAATTTGTCAAGATGGCTGTCACTTGGTGGCAAAACAACCAAAAGGGATTACTGTTCCTGATAATGAAAAAGGATTTTTCTGGAGATTTTCTTTTTCAACAGCTGAAAAGAAGCTGTTTCTCAGAGGGGGCCATGGAGAAGCTAGCTCTTGCCGAAAGCAAGTATTGCGTATACTGAAGGCACTAAAAGAAGAATTAAGCCTGCATCCACTGAAGTCATACCACCTTAAAACTTTGCTGTTATACGAGTGTGAAGCCTATCCTCACTCAAGGGAGTGGAGCTTTGGTTGCTTAAGTGAGAGATTTCTTGGCCTTCTGTGTAAGCTTGAGGGATGTTTGAGACAGAAAAACTGCCCTCACTATTTTATCAGAAATTTCAACTTGTTTGAGACATTCTCTGACCAAAGTTGTCTTAACCTGGCTGAACGCATAAAGCAGATTAGACAAGATCCTAAAAGGGTCTTGAGCAATCTTATTGGACAGCATTAAATAATCAGGTCGGATAAATGTAGCATGGAGCATGTTGTAATGACCAAGAACTTAAAGAGATTTGTAACTGCTACACGTATAATTGTCCCAAATAATCTGCAGTATTAGTTCTGTGATGTAAGTATTAGTAATTTAATTTATTACATCACCTCTGTTGTTTTAATGCACACTTTCATTTACACTATTGATTTTATCTCTTTGCTACAAATGGCTATAATTTACAGCAAACAATGGCTGTAAAAATTGAATGAATTTGTTAATAAATTAACAATGTTCACTGACAATAGGGATTTGAAAAGAACGGATACTTGTTTGCCTGTCTAACATACATGTACAGCTGTACTGGCATGTGGTGTTGACTTGGCCAGTAGAAGGAAAAGGTTTGACCTGCTTTGTAAAGAAGAATTAAATTTAATGTCAGCAGTTAAGTAAAAGTGATAACATTAAATAACTCAGCAATAAACTACTTGTTTGCGAGGTCCTCTCCAATCAAAGTAAAATCTGGTGGTGTATGTCTTTGGAATGTGAACATGTTTGCTTACTTTAGGCTGTGGGAACACCTCCTTCCTAATCTGACTCATCGGCATACCCTGTTCCTTACACTTGAGAACTTCTAACATAAGCTTCTTCAGTTCTATAGCTGTTCTTGAGTGTAGCCACTTGTCTTTAGTGTTGATAATGTAGTTGTCAAATCCTCCTGCCTTGTCAATACATCTTAGTGCATGCATACTGAATTCAAATCTCATGGTTTGTTCCAGTATTTGACTGTAATATTTCTTTTTGACAACATTTGGCTTCCAAACCCGCTTGGTTCTGTGGAAAGAAGGCAATTGTGTGTAAGCAAAATGAATCCACATCAGTTTGAAGCTTATTCAAGCTTTCAGGTGACATGCGATGGAACATGCTTGGAAAATTATTTTAAAAAATAATATTAAAACCATGGACTGTAGTGTATCCTGAATTAACTTAATTTACATTGATTTATAGCCTTTGCAATCACATTTTGTTTGCCTGCAATAGCCCTCCTGAAATGTTCATTCTGTCCAACACTGTGAAGTAACATTACAGTCATTTACCAGCTGGCCATTGCTAAACATATGAGAGGCCTTGTGAGTCTTTAACCCCAAAAAGCACAATTTGTGTTTTAATTTTGCTGCCTTTTTTCCTGTTGTTCCCATTCAGAGCTTTTGCAAAGGATAACTTACAAGAACAAAGGACATCCTTGGAACAGAAAGTAAAGAGATTCACATGTTTTTTTTAAGGGAAGATTGAGCTCCTTCATGCACGTAATGGTCATCTGCAGAACACCCACTTAGTAGAAAAGGGACTAACAGTCAATACAGTGTAAACTGTACAGGTGTAGGTTCCCCCATGTACGTAACCCCCCCCCCCGCCCCCCCCCCCCCCCCCACCCCCCCCCCCCCCCCACCCCTCACAACCCACCACCCCTCCGCCACATCCCACCCGCCCCTCACCGAAGCACACACACACATATCCACAACAAAACAATATCGATGCAAACGAAGTGAACAGAGACCGGGCATACCGATACCAGATTTTTATGCGGAAGATGGAACCCATCAAAGACAAATAATGACAAAAGCAAAAACCCCACTTAGACGAAAAAGGAACAAACCTAAATAAAGTGAAAGTCTGCAGGGTGGAGGTTCCCCCATGTTCCAACCCCCCCCCCCCCCCCCCCCCCACCTTCCAGCAGCCCTGCAGGGACAAACTTTACAATCATACGTGTATAGTGTATGCTACAGCTGTACATTAAAGCATCACCTTATTATCAATCAGATGAAATTAACCTTTTTTTCTCATATGTCAAACTACTACACATGTAGCAATTCATACAAGTCATGTTGGAAAGAATAATATTGGAGTCTTCCCTCTGTACTCTTGCATGCCTTTTTTGTTCCCTGTTAGTTTTGACTGGATTGGTAGCCATCCAAAGTATTTTTTTTCCTCCCTTTTTAACCATAATATCGTTATATGACAGAAGAACAAAAAAGTAGAATTACACAGTCGATGCATGGGCATGTCTCAGTCTATACCAGGAGGGCCCATAGCTCACAGTCCCCTCCCTGTTTATTTATTGGACAGCTGCCATGTTAGTTCTCCTGGAGTGGCTTTTCACTTTGTTTTACCATTTATTAGATGCATGTGGGTAAGGCATGATAACCACCAGAGGATCGGAGCTTACGTCAAGTTTCAAAGGGTGGCCAGCTTCATATGGCTAACCTACTACGATTGTTTTGAATGTTTCTACGAGTGACAGTGTTTCTGCAAGTGCTTCAAGCCTCTCAAAAGTGGCAGGTGCTTGCAATAGCAGGTGGGAGTAAAAATCCTTCCCAGACTAGTCAAAGGCTTAATGGGATGTTGAAATATGATGTAACATGACTTCAGTAATTGTCTGGTTACATGACTCATTGCCTTTGGGACTGAGTCTTGGATTGGTTCTGGATATTGTATTAGGTAGTTAAAAAGACTCTTGGGCTAGCACATGCAACATGGATTTGTGGTTTGTTAATTTGTGCGTAATTTGCTCAATTTTTTTAATGTCCTACAGTGCGGTTGCTGTATGGACCTACTGCCCCCACCATCGGGCATTTGCAGCTTTCTGAAGAAGAAAAAAGCCCAACAGATGGCCAGAGAGTGGTGGGAAATGTCGTGCCTGGAATAAAATGAATGATAAAGTTGGCCCTGTTGCTTGTCAAGCCTGCAAACAGCAGACGCTTTTCCAGTCGTCGCTTCTCTCCCTCCGAAAAATAGCATCTGCGAACCCGAGCAGCAAAACGATTTCCATGATGTAAAACCTTTTTAGCCAATCACCGTTTAGCCCTTAAAATCCTTTATCTTTGAAAGCTAGGACGTGTGGTAATTGATTTCCCATGCGTTGTTCCTTCTTGGTTCAGACAGAACTTTGATCAGATGGAAAGCATTTTGTTCTTATATTTCTTTAAATACATGTTCTTTTCAACGTTTCAAGTTCCATAGTTTTCTGTGAAATGAGTCAAAGTGTCGTAGCTGAAATGTCATCTTGACTATGATCAATTTACCGCTGTAACTATTTATTTCACACTGCAGGGTCTAGCCCAGGTTTATAATATTTCAGATCATTGTGTTGTGGCGATACTAGAATTATTAACGAGCGATTGTCACAGATTTCTGAATCAGTCAAGGATGTGTCTGTATAATCGATTCACCACCTTTTGTCAGCGCTGGTTACATTGAAATAAACAAGTCTGAGTGCAACGTCACTAAGCTATATTACTTTCCTTTCACTGTAGCGATTATTTTGTCCAGGTTTTGTTTATGTCATGTACTACCGTATTTTATAAAGTGAAACCAAAGGCCCACATCTCATAAATAGCTTAAGAAGCAGTTGCTTCATAAACAAGTCAGTATTCAACGTCGCAGGAAACCTTGTTATGGTCGTGAAATTCACATTCCAAAGTGTATTTGGTAACTCTTGCTGAAATCCAAGACACTTCAGCGCGCGAGGTCGTGAGGAGTCACTTGAGCTGTATTCTATCCTTTGATCTGACTGGCCAACATCAAAACAAAAGGTTTTACGTCAGAGAAATCATTTTGCGGCTCGGGTTCGCAGACGCTATTTTTCGGAGGGAGAGAAGCGACGACCAGAAATGCGTCTGCTGTTTGCAGGCTAGCTGTCAATCGGCGTGCAAAGAAAGTAGTATCTGATAGCCCAGGGCTGGTGGATTTTGCTATTAACTTGCCCGACGTGCAAGTGATGTTTTTCGAGGAATTTGAATAACAGAAGAAGTGTGAAATCAATTCTGCTTGACAAAAAGCTTGTGGGGCTAGTTGAATTTACGTCTGGGCTAGTAGATGCTACATAGCTTCAGCTTGGTCAATCTTTTTTTTTTCTTTCTCTATAAAGCGAATCCCTCACCAAGACAAACATTTGGTAATAGTTCCAAGAGTATCTGTTTTTGAGAGGATTTGCTAGTTACTGTCACTTCCAAAGGGGTGACTTCATTCTTTTAAACTTGGGGCACATGTAACCCAACTGCTTCAAATAAAAAGTGTTAATGTTGTTGCAGTTGTTGCTGACATCTATGTCTAATGTAAATCCTCGTGGTAACTTAAAGAATATATTTGAAAGATAGTAATAACGTTACAAAGCTACATATTTGTGTTTTCAGGTTACGTTCAATAATTTTTCACTTATACTAAGCTCACTTTTTTTCAGAAAATGTGCTCACATGGCCATACATGTAACCTTTTCCATGATAAATTCCCTGGTGCACTCGTTCTGTAAATGTCTTTGCACGCTTTGGGAAATTCTTAAACAGCGTAAAACGCAGACCAAGAAGTACCATGATATAAATATGCTTCCAATCAGCTTCCACGCTCCATGTTTCTAGCGGGTGCGGGAGACAGTGTTTCTAGCGGTAAATCAACTAGCGCATGCCCGATCCTTTCAACCTCGATATCAGGAAGAGGCTTACCGCTGAACGCATTTATCGCAGAAACTATTGTTTTGGCGCCAATTCATTTTCACGCACGATTCACGCGATTTATTATTCTACTTTCAAAAATATATTTTTAACAACATCGAGGAGAACGAACTATTTTTACTGGATATTTTCTTCCTCAAGCGTGTCTTATCCTGGCATGTCTCTTGGGAGACGATCTGACAGGTACTACCTCTTAAAATTATTTGATTTTTTGTTTGCACATGAGTAATCGATGCTGTTGTTGTTAATATGAACGAGCTTTGTTGTTTCGTTGAATATTTCGTCAAAAACTGTCGTGTTGAAGAATACTCGTTCACAATACAATTATTTTATCATGTAAGCACTCTCACTTGTTTAGCATCCATGTCATGTGGGATAGACTGAATTAATATTTCTGACAAATTTATGCGTAAAAATGATCTTAAAATTGCATGCATGTTTACCTCGACGATCTGTTGCCTGTGTTTCGATCATTAAACAGACTTTGATGGTAATTTAGTTTAGTTTTATGGTGGGTAACGGATCGTTGCAATGTCTCTTCGCCGTAGAGTACGCACAAAAGTTGATTATTCCAAGTTTTGTGAAGAAGAAGGTGAAAGCACAAATAATAGCGACGGTGAGTCTTACATTTTTTGTAAAAATTGTTGCTAATCAAACTTCATTTTATGAACAAAGAGAAGCCTCATGCTAAATTATCTACTATTCTCAATTTCGGTCGTTAATATAATACCCATTAGTAGGATTTGCTGTAGAAATTAAGCTTAATAGTAATGAAACATTAATTATTTAGTGAGTAAAAGTATTATTGGACTTATAGCACATAAGTGTGTTGACATCAGTCGTATAAATTTCAACACTGAGCCTGGTTGTTGAAAATAAGTCTTTGCATTTTACATGGTTTGTGTGTGAGTATTTTTCCCCCTTTACCGTTCCTGGGAGTCCATATTTATTATTGTGACACAGTTTCACAGATATTTTATTACATTTCCAAAAGTGGAGTTGATTTAATAAACCTTTTAAGTGTAATTTACAAGTGAAGCTATTGTTTCTGAGTCCGAACACAAGCCACTTGTACACTTGAAAATTATACTTGTCAAAGTTCTATTAAATTGACCTCGGGACTAACTTGGGAAATTTGTTCATCTGATGTAAACCTACATAATGGCTAATTTGGATTATAATAATAAGTCAATATTTAACGTATCAAAAACGAAAGTGAATTTAACAACAATAATTAAAGGCCACAGAGCAAGTAAACAAACACAGATCATGAGATAAGCAGTGGTATCTTCTGTTTGTCTCATGACTGGGCACATGAAGGGTAACTGGACCCAGCACTTATAACTGCTCCAAAAACAGTTTTTTGCCATTATAACAGGGCTGGCTATGTTCATTTTTGACAAAAAGGGTTTCCAGTTTACAGTCAACTCTCATCTTGTAGACACCTCACTATTTATGGACATTCCACTAATACATACAGCTGCTAAATCCTTGGCAAAAATTACAGACATTTGACTGAAACAAACTCCCACTATTATGGACTCTTGCTATTACAGACTAACGGACACCTCTCTCGGTCCCGACAGCTCAATTATATTGTTCTCAATCTCGTTATAATTGACAGCAATTAGCATTTTGTGACATTTAGGCAGAATTATCTCAAATTATAATTTATTTCTTCCTCTTTTTCACTTCATTTCTGTCCTTTTGCTTGAAAAGTGTACACTCCAATTCCCGTTTCACATGATCCTTCTAAGAAACTACTGTACTTACTTGCAAAAAGCAAGCATGGTCTACTTAATGTGCATAAAGTGGATTTTCTAGTACTGTACTTTCTGGTTTTTGTGTTACTACAATTTTTTTATATTACATTTTTTAATGAACAATATAAAAAAAATGTAAATCCTCTAATATCAAGAATTTTTTTTGCACCACATTATTACAGACTTTTGTTATTAGGGACACGCAACTGCAGTCCCAAGGGTGTCCACAATAATGGGAGTTGATTGTATAAGGCTTTGCACCAGCAGATTTTGACTTGGACAGATAAGCCCCTTGAAATACTCATTGTTCCCTCAAACACGAAAAACACACCAATTACATGAAGGCTACTGTAAAAAGCTGTGTTAACAAAAATGCCTCTATGACCTCACAGCATGTGTTGGTATTCAGGGATTCTCTTCAATTTCAAATTAAACAAGTCACCCTTGTTTGATGGTAAGGTGGCCCTCATAGCTACACCAACTTTTCTCCATATAAACACTCGGTCAAGGCAAGACAATCAGAGCATGGACAGGCACTGTTGTCAGCTTTTGGTTCATCTAAAGGGGTCTTGAAACTTTTTTCTCCTATAAATTCTAACGAAAGTTGGCTTGGCCAGGATGGTGACCCTCTTTCCCGGGGCAGCTTTCTGAATTCTCCAAATAAATGAGGCCTAATTTACACACATCAGAACTAATTTTGTCGTCGTTATTGCTATAGATGATTTCCAGGATGACACCGGACCAGCTCCTGTAAAGAAGGCTAAAACCGCAACAAAGACAAAAGCAAAAACAAAACAAGAAGTCACTAAAAGTAAAACTAAAGATTCAGGGAATTTAAAAAGAAAAGAAAGGTACAGTTTAATTTCTGAGTTGAATTTTATGTTTCAAGGGATCAGGGTGCCTTTCTCTGGGAGAAGATAAGATTCTGAATCTTACATTCCTTAGATTTGTTGTGACAAAAAAGCATGAAAATAAATTTTTAGTGTGTTAAGGTGAACCTGTGAGAACATGGTGGGCCTTGTATGTTTACAGGAAAAACCACTTGCTGGGTACCCTGTGAGCAGAAGCCCAGGACTGCAAATAACAAGCCGTCATCAGACATTGGCCGACTAAAATTTGCCAGTGTCTGACGAATTCTGAGTTCAGAGCAGGGTTATTTAAAGTGCAGTAACCCGCTTTTAAACCACAATTAGGGTCAACTTATCTTAAGTCAAGTTTTTTTAGAGGCAGTAAATAACATTAACAAGGTCTTTTCCTTACCCATCCCTTGGTTAATAATGACATTCTGGAATTGTTTATGAATCATAAGTTTTGATCTGAGTAAGCACTGGGCCACTATTTTTTTTCAATGTGACCAGGGAAAAACAAAACAGTGGAATCCCCAATTTTTTGAACCCCCAAGGAAAAGCAGAGTGGTTTGAATTATCAGTAGCTTTGAAAAGTCAAGGGGAAAATATAGTGTTTGACTGGTGAATACGGAAATCAGGTTTTAACTGGACCCAGTTCAAATGGTCAGGAATTTAGAGTCACCAAGGGTTAAAAAAAAACTCGGGATTCTTAGGTATACTAATAGGGCTACACTTATTGGCCCCTGGTAAATTTCTTTTACTTTTGGATTACTGGTATGAAATCTCTGCCTTTGCAGAAAACCTATACGCTGGGCAATAAAGTTTTTGGATGTCCTAAGAACTCTTTATACACCAAACTTCTGTACTAGTATTGTACAAAACCTGCATTGTACAGTGTACAAAATGACTGTATGAGCTAAACTCAAACATCTTTTCACTGCAGATTATCTCGAGATGAAAAGCTTTATCAAAAAGATTTAGAGGCAGCACTGCAGGCCTCAATAAGAGAGTCACAGCTGTCATCTGCTGGAAATGACAGTAGCAGCAATGCAAATGATGAAGGGGAAGGTGACATTTCAGATGAGGAGGAATTGCGGCCATCCAAACCAAAGAAAGCTCGATTACTCCCTTCTTCTGATACAGAAGATAACAACAAAGAAAATACTGGGTACGATAAATATTGTACCATAATTATTCTCTCTAACAATTATTTTTTTACCACCTCCCTGTCTCAAGGCTCCACCTTTTCCTTGCCCCTGTTTCAACAGTCAAATATAATTTTAGTAACCCACCCCTATTGAATACCCCCCCCCCTCTTATAGTGTACAGTTGATTTGTTTCACTAAACAGTCACTTAATTATTTGAAAAGGCTGTAAGGCTACAATATTCCTGTAGAGTTATGAAGATGATATCAGACAAGCAACAGAGCCAATATAGCAATAAAGTCATGAATAACAAAACTGGACCATTAGCTGTGGCCACACTACAGACTTTTTACCTAGGTAAACTCACCTTGTTGGCAGTTAATCTAGGCAAACTTAATTTTTCAAGTGTGACTCATTTTCCCTAGGTAACTTACCTTAGGGAAATTTTATCTTCTGGTGCTTGGATTTGTCTCTAGAACAATAGAGTTTCCCTTGACAGCGACCCCAAAGCGATAGCTAGGGAAAAATAAAGTACTGAGGTTGCTAACTAACAGACACTCTTTGGCGAATGTCTTGATGACAGAACTAAACATACCTCACATTGTGAAAGAAATTTTGGGGGGTACATGTCCTCTGCGTCTTCCCCTCTATCATTGAATTAGCATAAGAAATGACAGTGAGATAAAAAGAAAAATGTCTCTTTGATCAGCTAAATCCCCAAGAATCTTGCCTTGTTGAATTTACACACCAAAAATTCAGTTGTGCGTGAAAACCTTGGGAGTCTATTTCAGTAGCACGACCTTCCCCAAACTTTTTTACCTAGGTAAAACGAAACCCAAGATGAATTTACCTCAGGAAAGTTTTGATGAATTTGCCGTAGTAAATTGGTTTTACCTTAGTAAAAGTCTGTAGTGTGACCACCGTTACTATTATTTTTTTAGAATTATACATTGGATATTGACACAAAGACACCTCCTCCCATCATTGACACCATAATGGGGTTAGGGTTGGTTGTTGGTTCTCTCCTTTGATCCAAACGGTTTTTCTCCAGGTACTGCGGTTTTCCCTTCTCCTCAAAAACCAACATTTCCAAATTTCAGGTCGACCAGAAATCAGGTAGATGAAGAACCACTTTGTAGATGTGCTACCTCTAAATCATTATTATTTATCGAAATAGCATGACAGCCCCTTTGAGTGGAGTGCCTTTGGGCTTGCCGTAGTCTGTAAGTGCACTTTACTAAAAATAAACAAGCTCCATTAATTATTTCACAGTGATGGTTCTGGAACAAACTTTGAAAGGAAGAGTCCAAGTGAAGAAGATGATAGTAGCAATGATGAGGTGAAACCAAAACAGAGATCAGCCATAAACAAAACGGATGCCATGAAGGAAGACCTTGACGAAGAAGTTCAAGGAGAGGAAGTTGAACCCAATCAAGGTTGGTCTCTTGTTTTTGAGATCCACATTTTTTGGTGAGAAAAATTTAAAGAAAAGGATAAAGTATATGGTAGTTGATAGTGCCTAAAGTGTAACATGTGATTCTGGTATTGTACTAAAAGACCTTTTAAGCTTGTATGTTTTGTTTTCCCATTTCATGTAGGTCTTGGTACCCTAGAGAACTGTTTCTTTCAAATGTCATCCTATGCATGTGCATCCACGTGCAGATGTATGCATAATTAATAAAAAGACAAAAGGCAAATTCCCTGGAGAACATCATGTCGTCTAAATTGCGAAAACAAAACCTACAAGCTTATTGAAAAGGTATATTAATTTTTTTTTCTTTTCTTGCCATTTAACTCATTGAATAACAAAGACAGCGACTTTGAACTAAGTGAAGAGTTAAGCGATGCAGACAATGAAAGTGATGACCAAGATGACAGCGACTTTAATGAGACAGAGGTAAAAAAGAAATCCAAAGGACGAGGGCGTGGTAAATCAACAAGCTCTCCAGGAAGACCTGGCGTCAAGCCAAGGACAAGTGTTACAGGTTTGTAGAGGTAATAGGTGGTGCATATGGGACAAGGAGGCAAGCTATAGCCTGCGAATATATATATAGCCATATCACCTTGCTCCTCGCCATTTGGAACATTTCACCTGGAGGAATGTCTGCACCTCAACGACAGAAATTCCATACTGATGGTGTAAAATCTGTCTGGGATCTGGTCAGGAGCCCTGATTGGTCAACATAGTTGTTATATTGTTTTACCTATTGTTTACCAATGACAGACAAAAGACCACAAAAGTGAAATGTAAATGGGGTCTTAAACATGATGAATCTACTACAAATCAGTCAGTATTCCTGGAATATATTATTCTTTAGAAAAAGCATCTGAGTTTTTGCTGGAGCTTGTTTGCAGTAGAGCACAAAACTTTACCATAATCGACCAGGAGAAACACAAAATCAAACAAATTTACATCTAGAACCCCATGACTACCGGATTTATTTTGTAAACATTGATATGCATCATCAGTATTTATGGAATTTCTGTTGCCGAGGTGCAGACGTTCCTCCTGGCAAAACGTCCCTAGCGGTGAGGAGCAAGGAAAAAGGGCTGTATTGGCAGGCTAGAGGCAAGCATGATCAGAACTTAACATGGCTTTTGAAGCATGCAACACTTAAGAGTATTACCCATCCCAATCCCCACTCACACACACACACACACACCTACACTGCACCAACCCCTTTGCCTCCCTCACCCTCCCTCCAGATGAGTGAGGTCCTGGTTCAGCGAAGGGTTCTCCATTTATTTATACACCTTTGTGATCTGACAAGCGGAGCAAAACTTTTTTGTCTGCGTTCCTAAACCTGATGGTCAGAATTCAACCGGGACTTACTGATATGAAGTTAGAGGTGTTAACCCTTTGTCCGCCATCGCTCCAAGAAGTTCTGATTTCCCTAATTTCTCAAGAAGACTGTTAAGATGAATCCAATGCCAGGATTGTGCTGCGTACAGACAAAATCTGTAGCACAGTGCCGAGACAAAAAATAATAAGATTATTATGGAACATTTGAAGCTTTGGGGGATATTAATATCTGGTTACTTGTGCCCCTATTGCAACAAGCCTTCTATTTCTCATTATAAAAACACTGGGTAAAATGTTACAATAAAAAAACATTAATAAATTTTAATAGTGACTAATATAATATCAAAATAAAATAATGATGTACAGCTGTATTCTGTGGAGAAATTGAAGAGATTTTTGAAACCATGCATAGTTTTTCATTTTTCAAAGTCTTGTCTGAGGCCTTGATTTCCTTTCTTTATTTTAGTAACACCACTCAAGATGCTAAAAGGCAGAGGAAAAAGCAAAGGTCGAGGGTCATCAGCTAACAGCAGTCACTCCGTGTCAAGTTCTGCATCCAATTCACCTTCAAGTATGTCATTTGAAAATCAACTTAAATGCCAAACAATGTTATACTCTCTGAGGGTACAAGGCAATGATAAATACTGTGCTACTAAATTGAACAAGCTGATTTAGGGCATCATGCTGCTTTTAACAATTGAGTTGTAAAACTTTTTCTTGTTGTTGTAGTTCAAAAAATTATTATCAGAAAACATCTTCTCTCAGTTTGAATTTAGTAAAGAGAAACTCATCATACCCAGCAGGGATGGCCTTAAATTACGGTGGCCTAGGAAAAAGTGATCTAAGAAATCACTTTGTAACTTGTTGTGATTCTTTCAACCAAGCTGTTTAAGATTAATAGAGAAAAGTGCTAAAGAGTAATTGCATAACAATACTTTAATAATGGTCTCATGTATAAAAATTAATGATGGATGCTAATTAATACTTTTTCTGGCTAAATGCTAACCTTTTCAATTTAACTGCCTTAAATTTATTTTCAGTGTCATAAATTATGTGTGACAAGAGCCGGACATAATTATTTGAGACTAAATTAGGTAATTAAAAACATTACTCTTATCTCCTGTGTTGACTTCACAGGTTTCTTTTGAAGACATAAGGATAACTGAATATACCCTTCAAAGAGGTGCGTCATAACTTGTTTTCTTAACACTGAATAAAATAAAATAAAGCATGCCTGCTCTTACCTCAAGATGAATAAAACGCACAACAAATGCAAGTTGAAAATTTAATTATTTGTATGATTATCCTGTCTCTTAATATTAAGATAATAATTGGTAATAAAAATAACTGATAACTTATAACAATATTGATTTGATAGTAAATAGCCTTATAGACTTGATAAAAAAGTCTTGTGTTGTACTTAATATTATAACACGTATAGATTCTCCGTAAAAAAAATTTTTGTCAACAAATGAAATACCTTAGCCTACATTGTAGACGTAATTTCACCCCCAGTTCTGAGCCCCCAAAGGACTCAATGAATTACCAGAAGTACATTTTGAATTTCCCTTCGTCTTGATTGGCAAATCAATGGTATCTTTAACAGGGCAATCATGGCACATACTCAAATCTTGGCACACAGGTGGGGGCTCAGAACAAGGATTTCTGCATTGTTTTGCAGACAGACTTAACCAGAGTTTAGTGATGAGTAGAGTACTTAAGAGTAATGAGTAGAGTACTTATTACAATGTACCTCTGCAAACCGACATACAATGCCTTTTGAGGAACAAGATTCAGTGCTTTTATTTTGTCGGATTTCTTTTCATCCCTCTTCATCTCCTTCATTCAATGTCTTGCAGTTTCATCAACAAGTAATCAACCTCAACAACACCAACTGAAGACAACATCTACATCACTCCTAAGAAGCAGTCCAGGAATGGGTCTTGGTGGCGTCAATATCAAGACTTCTGGACCCCCAATTCGTATTGGACTTTCACGAAATGTCAGAGTCAAACCACTACATGCTCATGTGTCTGTTCAGCACTGAATTATCTTGAGTTATGCATCACTTCATCTGCTTATATGTATACTTCGTACTCTGCATAGAAATTTTTTTCATCAGAAAGTGAAGGGGTCCGTCAAAAAACACTCTAAACTGACCAGTTTGAAGCAAGAATTTTCTCCTCACCATGTGTGGACATATCTTACAAATTAACAGCGTCCTTGTTAGCAGTGGCCTGTGTACAGACGTCCCCCCCTCCAGTAACATACCGGAAGCAACATCATTTCGCTCATTATCAGCTTTCTTCAAGAACTAAAAACAAACTGTTTTTTACTTTTTCATTTTCACAAAGAAATGACCAGGTTTTCTTGCAATTTTTATTGCCTTTCTCATTGTAAAGGGATTGAAGAATCCTTTTCACTCAAGACATTGCTCTCAGAACAATCAAAGGGTATCAAGAGGCCCCTAAAATTAATGTTAAATCCTGGGTGCAAGGTATTAGGTTGTGGAAAGCAATTGATGTGCTTTTCAGTGGAAATTTGTAGGTCATGAAATCTGGATGTCAGGTCTCTTAAAATGATTGACTTGAAGGAAACCAATTCTTTTTATTATTTGAAAGTGAAGTTCTGTAAAGATTTTTAATAAAGTTAATGGAAAGTTTAGAGTTTTGACTGGCTGCCATATGACAATCACTAGCTGTGTTTACTTTAACAGCCTAAAATAACCACTGATTGCATTTCTTGACAATAATGGAAGGTGTATTTGAGGTTGTCAAGTAGATTAGTGACAGAGGAAAAAAAATGTTCCCTCTCCAACAGTGAGAGTATCCAAGGAGGAGAGGTAGCTGGCCAAATGAATGTCATCTTGACTTTTTATAACCAACCACATCGTCTTCATCATCCAATTCTCAATGGTAGATCAGACGATGACTGTATCAATTGGCCTCTAGTTTAGTAGAATTTTATCCTCACTGTGGAATTTTTACTTGGACAATTTTGTTAGAAGTAGGCCTTTCTGAAAATTACCATTATATATTGTAACACTGTTTAGTGAGCAGGCTTAAGTCTCCCCTGTGTATGATTATTCTGGTAGAATGGCATGGATCAGAGGAATTTAAAGTTTTGTCGGTGGTTTTTGCTTGAATACAATTTGATTTGTAGAGATCTGTCTGGAAAATTTGTATTTGGATATAGGGGCTTGAAGGGTTTAACAAGGTACAAGGGGATCAATTTAAGAATCTGGGAAACTGGTCACCTGCCCCACCCCTAAGCCAACATTTTGCCTTAGGTGAGAAGTAAGTGTTAATGTTTCCCGAGGGTAGAGGAGTTGGGCAGGTGGTTTCCCAGAAACCTAAATTGATTAGTCAATCCTCACCTTAGGGGCACCCACATACTATTAATGGACACCCCTCATAGTCCCAAAGATACAGTGGACGCTCTCATGAGCAGACACCCTCGGGATGCGGAAAAGGTCTCCATTGACTGGAGCTGGCTGCTTACGACAATGTAAAAAGAGTTTGTATGGGAGTTGAGAAATACAGGATTCTGTGAAGGCGGCAGTAAGTAGAGGTGTCCACTTACAAGAATGTCCATTAGGAGGGCTTCCACTGTAACAAACTTCACATCATCTCTACCTCTACAATTCGGACACCTCCTTAATGAAGACTGACACTTATCTTTGTCTGGTAAGTGTCAGTATAGGGTTCAACAAATGATTGCAGACAACTTTTCACGAGCCAACCACTGCATTTAAGTTGTTTATTGAGTTAATAGAGATGATTATTTGCAAGCTCAAAAAATAATAAACTCATAAAATATATGAAATTTTGGACAAAGCTGAAAATAATCGTTTCCTTAAAACTAGCCCAAAGGTATTCAATCACGTCACATTTTAGTAAAGCAAATTTAATCAACAATAATAATAGAATTAATTTTACTCTCATGAAAGATAGCAACATTTTTTCACATTTTTTAATTTTTTCACTGGATGGAAATGGCCATAACATTTAAAATAAATTATAATTTAGGGTGTGAAAGTACACACCACACACACAAAAGCACTGGGTAGGTAGAAAGCGATTCCAATGACCTTGTAGGAACCCAAGCACTGTTTATGTTTGCTCAGGGGAGGGAAGGGGAGGTTCTGCAGTGTGGGGAAGGTAGGGGAGGTTCTGCAGGGTGGGGAGGGTTCTATGATACCTATCTTTACAGGGGTAGATTGAAATTTACAGTCAACTGCACCCTAAGGAACTTTCAGCCGAAAGGGATTGAGGTGTTGTCATAAGAATGCTCGTATACATGAGAAGTTGTTAGTGCCAAACTTTTCAATAAAATGGAGTTACTGAAAAATAAATTGGCAAACTATTTTCATGTGGCTTTAATATTCTTTTCATATGAATTTGTTTGTATGCAAGACACTTCATGTCTTTAGTGTTACAGTGGTTTTAAAGCAAGTCACGAATTAGCACCCATGCCTTGTGTTGCCTTACACATTTCCTCTGTTCGGGGAAATTTCTGTCACTCAAGTACAGAACTGAATCTTCTCCTTAAAATTTGCTTCACTTGGAAAAAGATAGTATATTGGATATTAAGTGGTCACTGATGAGAAGTTTGGATGTTTAAATGTATCAAAAACAAAATTATTTATCATACCAAGGAAAAGCAGAGCTGGAGAGAATGAATATAATGTTCAACCATTTTAACCATGTCTCCATGTTACATGTCTTTTGCACTTACCATAATATTATTATAAACAACTCTCCAAGTTGTGACCATTTTGGTTGCCATGGCACCTAAAATTTTGGAGCTGGCGACTTGATTTGTAAAAAAGACTCCCTAAATCAATTTAAGAGTTGGTTGCCAAATGGCAACTGAGCAAAAGATTTAAATTGGAGGGTTGTATAAACACCAATAAAATACCAGATGATCTGAGCTTACAAGACAAAACGACATCTTCATACATGAAAATAACATGTTATCTTCACACATAGAAAGATCATGCCTTAAATTCACTGCAAAAAAAATATTTCAGTAAAATGGTTTGGTGAAATTGGTGTTTCAGTAAAATGCAAGTGAAGACAACATTTTCATACATGAAAATAACACATCACCTTCACATGTAAAAAGATCACAATTTCACAACAAAAAAATATTTAAGTGAAATTGGTGTTTGTATCATAAATAGAACATAACAAATGGCCCCTTGGAGCGACAAAATTTCTCTTCTCATGTTGAAAAAAATATTTATTCATGAGTGAGAGTGAAGCAAACTAGTAAAAAACTCTTCAAAACTTGCAGCGAAAAATTCTGTATCTCGGCACGGTCATATAATATCCTCTATATCCCCCTCCCCCTACTAACAGAATAGAAAAAAAAAAACAGAAAGAAAATTCTGGGCAGCTCTTTATCCTGTTATGTATAGCTTTTAATATTATCAAGCAAGCAGGAAACAAGAATAAAACAAGTTTAGTTAAGCACTTAGCAATCTCACGTGTACAAGCTTTATTCATCATTGTCTATGAAAGTGCTGGGCTTTTTTCCATCCAACTATGTCCATTTGCCTTTCACATTATTGTCTGTTGATTCACCACTTCAGTAAGCCTGCATTGCCTTTTAAAGACTTGCAGATATTCCAGCATTATATTACAAACTACCAGCAGGGTACTAATGATGGCAACTTCCGATAGTTATTGTCTGCGCCAAAGAAGCATAACACCAAGAGCACAAATACACCCGAAAACAAAATAGACTTGAAGGTCATGCTTCTTTCGTAGCTGCTGGAAGTATTCAACAACAGACTCCTACAAAGAAATAAAATACTGGTTAGTAAATAATTGCACAAAAAGATATTGAACAAGCTTGAGAAAGGTTAAATGTAGTTTGTCAAACTTTAAGTTGAAAGTAAGGTATCTGCTTAAGCGCGCAAGCCTCCCCCCTCCCCCAAGTGTCACATTTGCCAGGCAATTTGCATAACATACTCTGGAGATCATTACAGGCCACTGTTGCACATTAGCAGCTAAAGTGGAAGCTCTCGTAAGCCGACACCCTCGGGAAGCGAAAAAGGTGTCCGTAACTGAGGCTGGCAGCTTACACAAATGTATAAAGACAGAGTTTGTATGGGAGTTGAGAAAAACGGTGTTTTGTGGAGGTGGCCCTAAGTAGAGCTTTCCACTTACAAGACTGTCTGTTAGGAGAGCTTCCACTGTATTATTATTTCCTTGCATACAACCCTAATCAATACCTTTTTATTAGAAATGTCAATTATTAAAGGTCCTTGCATGGTGATTACCCCATTGTGATACCAAAGATATTTTTAGCAATTTTGTTGGCATTCCTACATAGAGATGAAAAGCCAGATCTAAACCCCCTTGGGAGCCCCATCGCCCCCCCCCCCCCCCCCAAACCAACCCCACCTCCAAACCCCCCCCCCTCCTAAAGCCACGCTCCCCCTAACCAAAAAAAAAAACAACCAACTATCACACACCCCCAAACAACCCCCACCCTATTCTCTGACTCAAACCCACAAAATCAAATATTATAATAATTAGATACATTAAAGTTCATTTTATAAAGGTCCTTGATGTGGGATTTCCCCTCTTTGAAAACCAAAATATTTTTTAGCAATTTTTTTGGCCTCCCCCAAAAAGGAGACAAACCCAAACAAAACCCCCCTGGGGGCCCCCTCCCCCCCCCCCCCCCCAATAACATACTGCTACTATTAAAGCTCCCCCTAGTTATAGGCCAATCTACCTGTAAACAAAAATAAACACATCCAATTATCAGCCCCCCAGATATAAGCCCCCTTCTTATTCTAGTCCAAATGTGATAAAATGAATTTGATTTATTATGAAGTTTTGGGATCAGTTTTATTGGTTTCTGGGAAACTGCCCACCTACCCCTCCCCTAAGCTATTATTTTGCCCTAAGCAAGAAGTAAGTGTTAATGTTAGCTTAGGGGAGGGGTAGGTGGGCAGTTTCCCAGAAACCTAAATTGATCTACATTGAAAACCAGTAAATGCAAAATCTATTTTGATCAGCACAACTAGCTTGATTCGAAGTGCTTTTTATATTCTGGCTATAAGACCCCTAGGATACAAGACCCTCCATTTATAAGCCCTCGTAGCTAATTAATAAAACCCCTTACGAAAATGTATCAGCCCAGGGCTTAAAAGCAGCAGTTCATGGTATAGAATGTAAAGAAAGAAGATCCTTACCCATCCTCCTTGCTCAAAGATCCACTTTGCAAGTCTGTCTTTAATAAACTCTACAACCCATTCAATGATCATTTTGATGAGCGGGATTTCATTAATCACCTGTAAAGCTAATTTATAGCCAAAGTAGAACAGTGTCACTATTCTACCCCAGTTCACTCTGCCATCACTAAATATCTGTGCTGCGACCTGAAGAAAGGTATCAAGGGCAGTGTCTTTTGAAACTTGCACCTGAGATATCAGATCATTAAGGGATGCATCATTGGACAAGCGGTCGCCAATATCACGTATGACATGTGCCACATCTTTGCTAATTTTCTTCTGATTCTCGCTGAGTTCTTGTGGAACAGGTAAGCCATCAGCACGGAAGCACTCACTCAGAAAGGTACTGACAATCGCGGGTGCCTGGCCTGATACTTCATCAACACTGCTGGCTCTTTGAAGTGTTGGCCTTTCTTCTCTACTCCCATCCTCATCATCAGCTCTTCTAGAACTACTACCAGCAGCCATTTTAAATGGATCCACTCTGGAAGAGAGGTGCATAGAACAATTAATTCACTGATCTGTGATAAAACTTAGGTGGTACATTTTATCAAACCCACATGGCAAAATTAACAAATGGTAAACAGCTCAGCATGTACTATTGAGTTACAGTTGAACGCAGGAGGTTGCTGAGCACAAAAGAAGTGTAAGAGTCGCTCAAGGTGATAGCCAAGTGCGACTCTAGCTTCTTAAGTGTTTAGCAATCCACCCAAGTGCAAGTATAACTCAATAGTACACGCTCAGCCGTTTAGCATTTGTATAATCAAAAGAGAACAACTTTTAGTTTTGCTCACAGATAGCAGGGGAATGATGTGAGTTGTGGCAATCTGCTTGCACTATGGTGCATGTGTGCACATCATTCTTCTCAAATTCTTTTCTTTCCAAAAAAATGTTTGCGGAACAACTAGTGCTCCATCTCAACTGTATGTTATTGCTAATGGTCTTTGTAAACTTTCTTTCAGTATTAAGAGAAAAATCTTTCAGTGCAAACCCTGAGGTAAAAAAATGTAGTCGTGTAGAATCAAAAGTGGCACGTATGATTTTGAGCACACCCTAGCTGTCATCATCATTAACCCATGGGCAAAGAGTAAATAGGTAATTTCAAGACCTATCAGAGTGCCGGCTTTATGTTTGTTATGTCATAAAACAAATTTCTTTGGGTCTTTATTAGTAAAACAGTTAACCATTCATTGGGATATACACATGTCCACCTTACAGAGGATGAAGGAGAAAATGTTGAAGAACGGCAGCGACCAACAACTTAACCTTTCATTTCAGTATTTTTCCCGAGGAGTTAACTAAAAGAATGTAGACTAAAATACTATTAATAAGTAGTCAAACCACCAAACTAGGCTAAGTGACTGTGCTGAAAAACATTACTCACTGGATTAATGGGGGAAAATTAACCACAGCAGAATTAATAATACAATTTGAAAGTGAAGTGACCTGAATATTTATCACTGAGTAAGGAAAACTACATATTTAGACTATTCTTAGAAATTATTGCCACAAAAGTCAGCTATTTTTTTGCCACCTTTTCTCTTGTTATCAAAAATCCATTACAGAATAATCACTTAATTCTAGACAGTGAATCATAAAGCAAAAATAGACTTTGATCTTCACCAAGCCACAATAACAACAGTGCCAATAATATTAGTCTAAAACAATTACTTTGGATGTATGAAAATACTTGGGTTAAACTTAAAGGAAGTTTTGTATGAGCTGGTACAGTACAAACCAGTGCAAGTCTAAAAGCACTAGATTTCCTGAACTAAACGATGTGAAACGTCTTACAAGCACTCTTACATGCCTAAAATTGAAAACGTGCTAAGAAGAGCTGAAAAGCATACACTGCAAATTCCCACTCTCTTCTGCAAAGATCAAATAGTTTAATTTTAGGTTTTGCTTGGCTAGAACTAATGAATCATTTTATTCAAAGAGGTCTTTGCACCAACAAATGATCACATCAAAGGGTCCCATAATGGATTGGAATTGAGTCATTCCTATAATTACATGTAGCTGATCTATTAAAAGAGTCGTTAGGTTTCCTAAAATAGCAACCCAGTCACTCATGTCATGAACAAGTCTGCTGGCACAGGTCTGCCCACACATTGTTGGAGATTCCACAACCAATGTTCTTTAACTACTGTTTTGCTATGATATTGAGACGAAAACTATTCCAATTTACCTTCATGTTGTGGTTAGTTAATGTATTTTTCAGTAATACTGCCCTTCAAATTCATAGCCATAACAAGATTTTGATTTGCCATGTTGAAATATTTTGATTTGCCATTTTAAAATTTTTCTTACAAAACAAACAAACTGATTATTTATACTCTAGATAATACAGTTGAAGTCTTAAGAGATCTTTATTGACGCTGTCTCGCCGACTGGAGGGCCAACAATATTTATCAACTTGACACTTAGATTTACAAGAAAGTTTGAACAGATAGTCGTATACTGATCGACAAATTTTGGCCAGGATGCCAACATTTCAGGGAGTCTGGGACCCCTAGACAGACTTGACGCATCAAAGATTTGCGCAACAGGACAAGAATAACAGAAGCAAAGAAGATGCTTCATTCCAGTGAATAAAAACTTAGAGATGTTGATTTTCAATAGAAGAATGAACTCTCAGGTGGAAATCTTTGCTATGTGTTAACTTAATCGAGTTTGAATTGCAATAAAATACAAAAAACTGTACCAGCTCTTCAAGCGAATTCCAAAGGCCTTCGTTGACGTTTTCAATTTGGAGGTCGCGTGCCGTTTACGGCTAACCACAACAAAGTTTCTTTTCATTAAGAAAATTTTATCCGGGATTCCTAATTCATTCCAAAGGAATTTGAAAAACAAAACTTTCTCATCTTGCCTCAACACTGCGAGACATGTTTGGAAATCAGGTTCAAAGCGGCCAGCAAGAATTTAGTGAGTTAAATATATTTCTAGTGAAATTACCCTCTTGGATATTTTTAACGGTGTAAATTTTCTACTCACCACAACAAGTGAACTAGCGTTTTGTCCCCTTGAAATCCTTATTTCCCCGTCGTTGGCACCAGAGAAATGTATTCTCCTCTTCTCTGATTCCCAAATTTTGGCGAAATATATTTGATCAGAGCGATGGTGGTTGAGACTGATTGTATCGATCAATTCTTCTGCGATAAAACAATCTATTTCATTGGACAGGGAATAATACAGCTATTTTGATTGGCTAGATTTGCTTCTTGAGTGGATGATGTAATCGAGTGACGCGCCAGTTTTAAAGTTTTCCCCGGACTTCTATTGTTCCGGCCTAAAAATAATGTTTTGCCGCGCGAAATTGAAGAGACTGAAAAACACAACTTATTAAAGTAAGTCCTTTTCACCGATATCATTTTCGTAAATGGACATTATTTTGGGGGGATTATAGTTATTGAATTCTTGTTTTGTTATTGATTAGACCGAAAAACATATCACAAAAGGCGGCATATGCATCTGTTTGGAGTCGAATAGAAACTACAGTACGTGCCCAGACAAGTAATATTTCTTCCTTTCTTCTTTTTAGCGGGGTTTTAACCAAGCAAAAATGTTGTCGCAGCCAGGAAAAAAACAGAAAGTTTTTTTTTATTTTAATCAGCTGCTAACAAGCAAGCGCTTCTTTTTCAGATTCAATATTATGTTAATATTTTCCTCTTTGACTATTTTTGGACGTGACTAGTGCTTTTGTAGTTTACCGCGCGAAATACGGCGTTTTTAACCATATCGGCAAAGGATCTCTTTTTCCACAAAATTATCATTAATAATATTACAAGCTACGAATACTAAAAATGTTTTTGGCTCAAAGATTCAAAAGAAATAAGATTACATTCTGGGTTTGCATTTCAAGTGAAATTACTTGGGCGAATTGCACGGAAAACACGTGTTCGGTAAACTTACAAGGGACATTCCCCCAGCAATTATTCATTGGCGAATTTTCTAGGCCCAGCATGAAAACTCCACTGACTAAACTGGGACAGGAATTTTTTTTTTTCACAGAATTTATTTTTTGCTTTTTATGGGCCCTTGGAGGTTTATAAGTTTTAAACCAAAAAAAAAGACTGGTAAATTTTAGTTTCAAGTGTAAAGCTTGTGATTAAATTGTAACTTTGGTATCTGTTATTGTTATTCAAACAGCACGGGTGGCTTATAATGCTAAAAACAATGTGCTTCAGTATCCGAGAAACTAAATCGACTAAAACAAGACCTTATTGAACATGTAGTTTGCATAAAGAAATAATTAGTGATTAGAGAAAACTGTGCTAAACCGCAAGAATATCACAGCCTTCACGCGAAGTGTTTATATATATTACTGCTTCGTTAGCCGAGAAATTAGGGAGCTTTAGTATCGACGACGCGGCAACGGGTATCGAAAATGAATTCCCGTTTATTCCAATTTTCTGAAAATGGCAAGTGTAGGCGAATTTCCCTGGAGTTGATTTCTTGAGGACCGCAGTCAAGTTTACAGAGAGAAAAAGAGATTCGTCGTCGCTTGTTACGTCCTCCATAAAACTTGCAATTAGGCATTTTCACGTCGTAGTCGTGCAAGAGGGTGAAGAAATGTACAAAATAGCGTGATGCACGTGCAAAGTTGTTGTTTTGGGTAATAAACCTATTGCTTTTTTGACGTCCTGGTTGCCGTCGCCGGCGTCGTTGCTAAAGCTCCCTATTGTGATTCAATGTGATGAAAATATGCGGAAAAATTACTGAAACGTTGCACTAATAATATTGTGCGACGATACAGTCAGACTCGATATGAATCTATGTTGATCACATCAAAAAATTGGTGACTGAAAGTTATATAATTGTCTATGTCCAGGCGTTTCACCGATTCCTCAGTCTACTAGGATGTAAATGCGTTGAAAGTTTCGTGTATTCAGTACGAGTTTAAAATTGCATGGGGAATGGATCAGAGAACTGTGCAATTGTAACTGTCCAAAAAGTGGTCAGAGATGTTTCCCAGGTCAAAATCAAAGCTGAATTGAAAGTGCTCAGGACATTCAGCCAGTACTGGCGAAAAAAAAACCTCTGGCAAGAATACTCACCAATTGTGCTGGATACGACGTTCGTGTGCGTGCGCTAACGTGAACCTAGCTGATTTGAAGAAAGAAAACGAATGGTCAGCTAATAATAAACACACCTCAGATTTGGAAGGGCCTTTTATACCTGTTCCAAGAAGAAAATTTATTCATAAAACGGGACAGGTGAAAACTAGTACAAGAGCTAATTTTCCCCAGACAGCTGAAACGCGCAAGCATTGCCAAGGGCAAGTTCAAACTCGTTCGGCTTTGTTTTTAAACTGACTTCACCGGTACGCCGGTCGTGCAGAAACTTATTGTACCACTTGAAATAAATGATAAAATATTGGCGCTTCTTTTGAAGGTTGATTCCACCCGTACTCTCGACTGACATATCTGATGTTATATTAATTTTTCGGCTGTATTCAGATAAAATGG